CCACTCCTTGGAAACCCTATGAAGCAGTTCTACTCTGTTCTATAGGGTTGCTGTAAGTAGGAATCAACTCAACGGCAATGGGTTTTTGTTGTTGTTGTTGTTTATTCTTATACAGCAGTACCCTTATCACCTCAATCATTTTGATTGTCTTACTTGAGCCTACTTTGTGTAGAAATCAGAACTACCTGAAATATTACAAGACATTTTTTGTCAAACTCTACTAATTTCTTATACAAATTTTCTTACCACAATTGCAAAGCTGTATCATAGTAGAAAAAGCAGGCAAGGATGCATAGAAAGGATCCATGGATCTCAGTGAAAAACTAGCCCATACTTCCTATAGTTCAACACTTCAAGAAATAAAGAAGTCCCCAAATTAAGAACATACCTGTTCTTATATTTGCAACTTGGAACTCAGAGCGCATTTTCAAAAGAAAATAATGATAAGACAGTTTGTTAGGTTCCCACACTTGACTAACAAACATCAATTTATTCCATGGCATTCCTGAAGTAGTCTGAGTTCTAGACTGTATATAACATTTATGTCTGAAGACTAGTATGATATGAAAAGAGCACAGTCTATGCGCTTGTCAGAATTAGGCAGAAATCCTGACTGCCAATCATTAACTGCATGAACTAACAAAATTTATTGAACTTTTCTGAGTACTAATTTCCGCATCTGTAAGAGAGTACTGCCTATCATGGAGAGGTTTTGTAAGGATTAAAGATAACACAAAACAACCGGTAAAGACTGTGACAGAGTAGGTACTCAATAAAAAGAAGCAATTATATCAACTCTATTCCTCATTACCCTGTCTGCACATTCTTTTTATCCCTTACACTGCACTAAGCACCCATTCGGGATTTCTTAAAAAGAGTTTTGGATTTGGAATCGAAAATCTGGGTTTAACTATGGTCACTATCTCACACAAGCTATGGAACGTTAGGCTAGGTATTTAACTTCTTTGAACCTTGGACTGTTGATTTGTTACAAAAAAATTATAAGATTATTCTAATAATTAAGTGACAATTTATGAGCTGGCATAAACTGTGCAGTAAGAGAAATGTTGGCTTTTTACCTACTCCAAGTCCTCCTACTCAAAAATCACTTGTCTTCTGAGATCAAATGTGCATAATGAGCAAATGAGCATAAGCTAAAGTCACAGAAGAAGAAAAGCAAGCTAAACTAAGTAACTCACAATAAAATACTACTGATAACATCCCCTTTATACTCCCAGACCTTAGAACACACAAATGAAACTCTGATTGGTGGAATTCCAGGCAAAGGAACAAAAATAAATTAAGTTGAAAAAAGTTAAGCTGTATGGAAGAGTGTCTGCCCTTGCCCAAGCTCGCAATATGCATCCTGAGAAAACTTGCTTAAGCAGTTTCTACTTTTTTTCACTTAGCTTCCCTTCGTATTCCCCAAAATAGTTATACAACAAAGGCAGCATGAACCCTGAGGTAAAGCAAAGGAAATTGGTCAGATGAGTAAGCGTGCCCAAGTTATGAAGTGACTGTCAGAAAAATTCAAATTGGTCACATCAAACAGAAGGTAGACTTTTTCAATATCTATATAAAAAACATTTTCTATTTTGAATATCATTCCCCCATAACAACTTCAAAAATCCTGTCCTTTTTAAGATAATGCAATCTTTTGGGAGGTTCCGCTGTTAATAATACAATTTAATAGTTAAAGGCAACAGAACCCAAAGAGCTACAATAAACTGCTCCGAGGACTCGATTGCACTACAGCCCAGAGAACTTAGCTGAAGTGGACTGCACTTCAAAACTGTGGGAAAACAACAAAATAAAATTTTAATTCCCAGGATAAAAATCACCCAGGCAATAACATAACTCACCTTGGGTATAAAAAATTCTAAGAATATAAGTAGCTGCACATTTCACCTGAGAGAAGGAATGTTCATGTAGTGTGTTGTTTATAACCCAAATCAGGGTCACAGAAAGGATACAGAAAGATCTCAACAAATAATGAATAGCTATTTCTAGTACTATTTGTTCCCTATGCATAGCACCAAAGTCAGTGGCACCACCTACCACCCCAAAGATACATCAAGTTCCACAAAAGTAATCAGTCTTCATCATCTTCACCCCACCTGAGGCCCTTAGGAAGGCAGCTAGTGACCTGAATCATGCAGCCCAAAGTTTAACGAGCTACTGAGGTATTAAGATAATCATTGCTGTGTGTGAATTTCATCTCCCTTCAACCCCCTAGTTAAAAATCAGAACGGCGATCACCAGTGGTTCAGTGGTAGAATTCTCCCATTCTATGTGGGAGACCTGGATTTGATTCTGGCTAAAGCACCTCAGGCACAGCTATCACCCATCTGTCAGTGGTGGACTGCATGTTGATATGATGCTGGACAGGTTTCACCAGGGCTTCCAGACTAAGACAGACCACCAAGAAGAAAGGTCAGGCGATATACGTCCAAAAATCAGCCAAGGAAAACCTATGAATCACAACAGTCCCATCCACAACCAATAATGAGGATGGCACAGGCCTAAACAACAGTTCATTCTGTTGTGCATAGGGTCACCTTGAGTGGGAGGCTGACTCAAAAGCAGCTAACAAGAAGATCAGAATACCTCACTGGAGTCAAGTTTGAAAACCAAACCCACTGCCATCTAGTTGATTCCGACTCATAGCAACCCCCATATGTTACAGAGTACAACTGAGTTCCATAGGGTTTTCTTGGATGTAATCTCTACAGAAGTAGATCACCGGGCCTTTCTTCTACACACCGCTGGATGAGTTTGAACTACTAACCTTTTGACTAGTGGTCGAACACAAACTGTTTGTGCCACCCAGGGACCTGGAGTCAAGTTTAGGACCACCAAAAAAAAAAAAAAAACTTTGAGGCCACCAGCAGTGACTCTTGACGCCATGGTACTAACATTTTAAAAAGTGAAAGAAATAACATGACATCTTAATTAGACAAATTACCAATGAAGTTTAAAAGTACTTCAAAGTTACGTGATGGTGGCATGAAGGAGAAACGAAAAGGGTCAGAGAGAAAAAAGAAATGCCTTTATAACATACAATTATCTGAAAAAGAAACAGTCGACAGGTTAAAACATGTTTTCAGTTACCAACTGTTGCCAACATGTAGCAGTTACCACACCATATACTTGTCAGATTTCCCAATATGCAAAACAAAAAGGAGTCTCCCCTTTATGAAGTACTTATCTACTGACTTCTGTAGAGAAGAAATGACTTTTCTGGAATGCGGGCAATTTCACTTCCTACGCTCTCCGAGTTTCAAAATCTTTAAAATCTTCAGCAAAATAGGTTCACCTCAATTTTAAAGCTTTTCATGTTAGGTTGAATAAAAACTGCATATTTTTAATACAGATAAACTATAAAATCACTTTTCTATCTTAAATTATATCCACATCTCAACTAGATTTTAAAATGCTTCTTTAAAGGCTAAATACAAAGTTTGCAAAAACAAGTAATAATACAGTAGATGTGGCAGGCATTGAATAAGTTTACTTATCAGTAAAATTCCTAAGTAAAAGCTTGAAAAAATTTGTGAAGATAAACTCCTAGTAATGCTACTGAAGAGACAATGTGACTAGTAAGGAAACTGAGAAATATTTAAAATATTCTGAAAACAGCATCTCCCTCTAAAAATAAAGAGGAAACGCATTTGCCAACACAGAAGCCATGGGTTCTTAAAAATGATAATCACATCGGAGGCATTTCTAAAAATACTCCAGTTCTGAATTGCAGTAACTCTATCTAATCTTTCAAAGCACGTTTTGTCATGCCTTACCAGTAGCAAGCAAGTTTTTGGTATCATTATACTGATACAAAGGACTCTTCTACTTTATTTGCTTCTACTGCAAACTGTTGGTTTACACAGTTAAAGATCTGCAAACCAGACTACCAAACACATAATTCACTTACATGCATTAAAAAAAAAAAAAAAGCTCATGTCATAGATAAGGTCCCAAGAATTTTCTAATGAATTTACAATAACAGCTATTTTACGTTCTGGTTTAAAGGTTCGGTAATCTATTAGGATTCATATTCTATACATTTACGTAGGTTGGAAAGAGAAACTTCAGAACAGGGGAATTACATCATTCTATTTTAAATTACTTATGAAGCCAACAGTTCAAGAACTTTTGGAGGGAGAGAGTATTTAAGACATTTTCCCAAATAGTAAAGAATAAATCATGTTTTATAATAACGATAGCCCTGACAACCTCTAGACTACATACAGTGGAGCGGAAGTGAAAATGATGAGAGGGAAAAACCCAACTTGAAAACGGACAGGCAGGCAGATTTACAAACCTTCAATTAAAGGAATTTTAAGATTAAGTTCTCTCAAACGCCCTCCCTTACTCCCCACCCGCTTCCTCCTCTCCTTGGGGAGGTCTGTGTAATGTGACTCATGACAAATTTTTTAAAAAATAAATAAAAGACACACCCTCTGGGTTGAACTGACATAATCGCCCCCACCCCACCCTCCCCCGACACACACCCCGCTTTTCCTCTCCCTTCTGCTTCTTGTCCCTTAGCCTCACCCCTGTCCTTTCCTGTCCCTTCTCCCGATTCTAGACCCCTCTCCAGGCGGAGAGGCAGCAGGGCGGCAGCTCGGTCCCCGGGACAGAAGCACAGCCAACAGAAAGCTGCCAAGGGGCAGCGAGACCCGAGGGGCCGAGCCCGCGGGGAGGCGGACGTCAGGGGACCGCCCGGCTGCGGTGGCGGCTGGATCCCGGCTCCCTCGCCCATTTTCTCTCTCCTAGAGGTTTCAACCACCAGAGCCACTTCCTGTATCGCAGCCCGACTCCCTCAGCTCTGTCAACTGCTCTCTTCGCGGCTGGGGTTGGGGTTGGGGTTGGGGTTGGGGTTGGGGCTGAGGCAGAGGCTGAGATTAGGCAGCTCCCCACCCCGCCCAGTGGGCTGGTCACTCTAGCGGCCGACTGCGGGTCCGCGGTCCGGGCAGCGCCCGCCCGCCCGCGCTCCTCACCTGTATGTAGTTGTTTTCACAGTAGTCCGCCACCCGGGTCAGGTTCTGGTAACTCTCTATCAGTGCCCTCTTGCCCGATGGGATCTCCTCCTCTAGTAACATCTGCAGCTCTGCCATTTTCCACCCCTCCGCATCGCTTCCTCTCCCGTTAAAGAGACAGCGGCAGCAAGGTCCGCGAAGGCTCCGAGCACCTCTCAGCCCGGATACAAACCGCCTACCCGCCCTCCCGCCTGGTATTGTGGGACGGTACCTCCTCCTCTTCCTCCTCACTCCACCCTCCTCCACCCACTTCGCGCAGCCGCCTGAACCTCGTCCTCTCGCGATCGTTCCTAACTCCCAGACCACGGGATTTCCTCCCCTCCCCGTTTGCTTGGTCTTCTGGGAATTGTAGTCTATAATAGGTTAGACTTCCCATCTGAAGCTGAGGCGTCGGGGAGGAGTCTAACTGGAGAACTTTGATCAGAGGTGGTGATTTTAGGTCCGGAATTCCTGACAGCTCCGGTAGATGGCGCAACAGGGTGACTCTGGAGAATAAAACCCTCCCCTCTCCCCCAAAGCTGTGAAGCTGCAGAACTTTAACGGGAAATGTCAATAAATAAACGCCGTGGATTCTGATTAGTATTAAAAAAGGATAAAGCCAAAACCACACTCGGTGCCATCAAGTCGATTCTATCTCATAGCGACCCTATAGGACAGAGTAGAACTGCCCCATAGGGCTTCCAAGGAGCGGTTTGTGGATTTGAACCGCAACCTTTTGGTTAGCAGCCTTAAGGCTTAACAACTGCGCCACCAGTTAGAAAGGGAGAAAATATGGAAAACTCCAGATATTTTTAGGTAGTCCCCCCCTTACGATGTATTCGAGTTACAAAGAACCGCGCTTACCGCTATGTTTTTGTTTGGTTTTTTGCTCATTAATAATGGAGCCCTGGTGGCGAAATGGTCAAGAGCTCAGCTGCTAACCAAAAGGTCAGTGGTTGGAACCCACCTGGCATTCCAAGAGAGAAAGATGTGGCAGTCTGATTCCGTAAAGATTTACAGCCTTTGAAACCCTATGGGGCAGTTCTACCCTGTCCTATAGAGTGGCTGTAAGTTGGAATCAACTCAACAGCAGTGGGTTTGGTGGGGTTTGGTACCCTTATAGACTCACAATTTAAAAATAAACACCAAAATCAAAAACCAAACCTGTTGCCAGGGAGTGCATCCCGACTAACGGAAGTGCCGTGTGTTGCAGAGTAGAACTGCTCCATAAGGTTTTCTCGGCTGTAATCTTTACAGAAGCAGGTTGCCAGGCTTCTCTTCCATGGTGTGGATGGGTGGGTTTGAACTGCCAACCTTTAGATTAGTAGTTAAACGCAAACTAGGTTACTACTCAAGCATAAACCACTTGCATGACCCAGGAACCTCAAAAACAAAACATACATAATTTTTAATGCTGTTGCGTCCTAATCACTTTTTCCTGACTCTCCTTTGTGTGTATCTCCCTAGTCTTTTTAAGTCAAGTACACATTGTTTCTCTAAGTTGTGTAAAATCATTTTTTTTTTTTT